ACATGACAAAGGCATGATCACGCATTTTACAACGCATTTCTAGGAATTTTAACAGCCTTGATAGCAGATAAGTCGTGGATCTTGCATAGTAGGATCGCCCCTAGATCTCTGCAATAGGTTCTGAGATGGGTATTGATTTTACGCTCATGTAATCGATTACCGCGCCTCTAGCTGTATGTGACTCGTGAGGCGCGCAATACAAAAGCAGCTGAAAATTCCCTTATAGCATTTCAAGCAATACCTGTCAGCATCTTAGCTTACACACTTTGAAACCTTATTTTTTCTACTCTCTGAACAGGTATTTTTCCTACTCATCTAAACAGGTTTTCGATCAAATTATTTTACCAGTGCCGTTACACGAAGGAGCTTTTCGTGATTTCTATACCCTGGACATGGAGTGGGCGTGGCCGCGCACTTCTTTTGGACCTAGCAGCGGCTGCGCCTATACTGGTACCTTTTCATTTTGGGAGCATTTTGGTAATATCTCTGTCCAACAACAACAGCAAGATGGTCATTTTGTCAAATGGAAAAATTCCAAAAAAAACACATCCTACGCAATGCTCAATTGAAGTACGCAGCCACACCCTCTCCATATTCGGGATATGGAGTGTACACAACAAGGAACAATTTACCTTTTCCATTTGCTTTGCGAATAAACAGGATAGAGTAGGGCCAAGTAGAGATCCAGGTGAAGGGGCTTCGGCTAGCCCTCCCACAATCAGATCGACGTCTTCAGGTGACGCATATAATTGCTCGAAAATGGACGCATTGATGGAAGGGAGTAGCTAAATTATGACAGCAAACAACTTCCAAAGCGTTTTTCATAGTGATCGTGTGAGCGGAGCCAGTCGACCAGCAACTTCTTTAATAGCCCATCTCCTTGTAGCCTTAAAGTTGCATCAAGGAGGAAGTCAAATTGTTAACCGTCTCCGCCCATACGACCAGCGAGTACTGAGCCCAAGTGATTTATCAAAATCACAAAGAAATTACTTTAGTGGACATAGATGCGAAAGACTGCACGTTGTCCAGCTGACAATGTCGTCTCCACTGAAGATAACCAGGGATTCCATGGTCCCTTCCCATTTGTATGATTTGGGCGGCCATGTCAATTCCGTGTTCGGAGGGACCACCTCCTTAGAAGTAGAATAAATATGAATCCCGACGAATTTGGCGATTGATAGGCAATGTTACCTCTCTTGAAGGCATCCTTTAGTTCTGGGTTTATATGTAGCCCTGGTTTCATAATAGGTGATCGAGTCAGGAAGCGCAATACGGCGTCGACGCGGTTTCTTTGATAGATAAATGAAGGATCGTTGAAAACCTTAACATATCTCAAAATACAACGAAACAACTTAAGGGCAGTGTGCACGATTGCTGGGGGCGGGCTGTTGTTGGCAGCGTCATTGGTGGATGGGCTGCGAGAGGCCTGACCACTTCTCCCCTCAGCCCCTCCAGCAACGACATTGGCGACAACCGCCCGCCCTCAGCGATCGTGCTCACTGCCTTTAATTGTAGATTTGAACTCTAGCACTACCTTTCCCAAAGGCTCCTCCCTTTTACTGTTCCCGAATGAGTCTGTTATAGTAATCTTGTCAGGTAGCAAAGTGAGGAAGAACTGGCCTACTGCTGTGGCGAATACGTTCAATGTTGATCCATCGATATTCTGAAAAATAAGGGACTCAGGAGAGGTTCGTTACTGTTTTCCTCCCACTTACCATGTCATAACGGCTGTCATATCCGTTCACTTGCAAATCCAATGAGTGCCTTTTCAGATTCTCCTTTCCGACTATAACTGGCACGAATTCATTGTACGTGATATGTTGGATCTGTGCAATAACGATTCGTCGAGCTTCTTGGAAAAGTTTCTCATCGGACCACGTCGGATTTACTTCTTAAAAGCAACGTCGGTATACGGTCTCACAGGGAACGAAAGACCAGAAGAAAATAAAAGAGTAGTGGGGCGAAAAACGGTCAGAGCTTTCGTCGACCGACCAGCGCTTCTGTTATCGGCGCACGCATTTCCATTCTCCTCTATTTGGAATTGTTGTGGCTTTGATTCCAGGTGGACTGACACACGTATCTGTGCATTGTGCAACGGTAAGGAAAGGCACAATCTGCTGTTTGGAGAAGTAATTCCCAAGTACTACATCTTCTCACAAAGGTTCCTCTTCCTGTTACAATCCCATCCAACCCACACCACCCAGCATCCCCACCCCTATAATAGCCATTTGCCTAAAATCTTACAGCTCCTGACTTCCACTTATCTTTTCTAAGATAATACCGTCCAGGAAAGGGATGTACAGCCTCTGACAAGGGAGGTCTTTCAGGTCGTGGCGCGCTTTTCAGAAATGGTTTGTTGCATGTTGTAGGGGTCCATATAAGGATCACAAAAATGGGTTTCGTTTTTGCTATGCGCTTCTGGGGAGGTCAAAAAATGGGTGAAAAGTTTGCTGGGGAAAAGCGATTTTGAACCATTTTTCTAGGCTTTTTTCCTAATCTCTAATGTTGACTGAGACCTTCGTCGGACCATTGCGGTCGAAAACAATACAAGTGAGGTGAAAAAAGTATATTTGGCACACCAGTGAGCAGCATTGATTAATTTCTGCAAGTATCAGCTCGCAGCATCCCAACCCGCAGTTAGGGGTGGCGGGGGGGGGTATTGAGAGTCCATGTTGCCGGCCAAGTGTATGCTACGCCAGTTATAAAGGTCAGAACCGTGATCAGGGCCGTCAATAACCTCTATATACAGACTTTCAGCAAAAATTTTCTCCTCGAGCTGAGCGCTTAACAGCTCATGCGTGCGGGTTGACAACAATTTTAATGCAAGAATGTCTCTTGCAGCAATCGGGTATAGGCTGCCCGTGGTCCGATAATGGGTTGTCGTAATCGTGTGTAGGTAACATCCATGTCATCCCGCGAGGCCTGCAGCCCTTGCGCAATAGTTTTAAGTAGGCCGAACGTGATAGTCTGGAGTGTACAGAATGAGCCTAAATGGCATATACGCCATGTATATATGTACACATTCTACGGCACGCGGACACACAAGGATACAGAAATCCGAAAAACGCGTGAATTATGCGCGAAAGTGGCAAAAAGATCCGGCCGCCACAGAGGATTCGATTCGCGCAAAACCTTCTCACGGATAAGAACCGACTACACACTATCCATTGCGTCCATCCGCCACCACGGAAACCGGTTGCGTAGTCGTTGAAATAACTTCGGCATCACTTCGTCATGCTCTTTCTTTCTGACTTTATTTTTGCACTCTTTTCGATACATAGTGAAGGAACACTTCATAAACTATGCACTCTCAAAGTTACAGCTACAACAGAGCCCAATAAGACGGTTAAAATCGCCCTTTCTTGTCAAATTGTTTTCACTCAGTTTTTGACCTCCCCAGAAACGCATAGCAAAAATATGCAAACGCGCATTTTGGTAAATGCCGGTATTTGGACCTCCTACTAACGAGCAAACAAACTAGTTTAAAAACAAGCGCGCACGACCTGAAAGACCTCTCCTTGTGAGTGAAAGGAAGACTATGAGCAAAAACTCAGAACATTTTTTTTCGAAAGCAAAAACGACGCCCCTCTTTCTACAGACCAGATACGATCCCCTCATGGGGACTCAGCGTACGACGTGCACCGCTTGCGGGAAGAATCAAAATACGAACCTATCTTTTCTCATCTCAGGCGATGCCAAATTAGAATTATACCAAATTACAGGCGCAGGGGAGTTGGAATGCTTGTTGCCCCTCGCAACAGCCCATCCGGGATCTGATCCCTGTACGCGTGTGGTGAGTGGAAGCACTTGCCACTACAACACCTTTGCCCATACCGCTTCTTTAGCAGCTGTAGAGATTGCGGAAAATTGTCATTTGCTGCCAAACTTCAGTGGAAAAATGTCACTTTTGGAGGTGCTCTGGGGTATAATAAACGAATTATGGATCCAGGCTTACACGCGCTCGATCATGAGCAAGCGACTGCCTGCTTTAGTGTACCCACTGTATTCGAGAATATGGCCGCGGATTTTTTGAGCTTTTTTTACACATGCCTACACAGTTTGCTGATATTGATCAGATGTATAATATATGGAACTCCGTCAAGTTTGATTCCCCTGAGGGACGGTGTTATTGAAAAACAGCGTTCTATTAAAGGCAGTTGGCACGATAAATCGGTACTCAGCCTTAAATGCACTGCAGCCGCCTCATAGCAATCCGTTTCATATTTTAAATAGCAAATGAAGCAAAACGAGCATCTGGTAAGGTCGTCCATTTGTGGGCGGGCGGGCGTGGTGGGCGTTTGGGTCGGTATGTTGTAGCTTGATAGGACCCTTATAAGGGTACCTCCCTAGGAAAAACCGCTACGCAGCGCCTGCTCAGGGTCGCGGAAATCCGCCCTGCCAGGCGTATAAATCCTACTCGTCTTTAGGGATTATCGTGCCAACTGCCTTTAAGAGAGGGGTTTGACGCCGGTGAGTTGGCAACACATTCCCTGAAGACCACCTTGTTTAGCAAGCAATTTCGCCTTATACTAGCCTTTCAGCTTGTAGCTCCATGAGAAGCCACTGTTGTTTTTGCAAACTTTGGAAATC